GACAGGAGCAACGGGCCTGGAGAGGGAGCTCCCAAGGGGAGATGACCACAGGCAGATGGATGTAAGATGAGGAGCTCAAGGGGGAGATCAAGGTCAGAGACAGACTTGCGGGTCATCAGCACACAGGTAGAGGATTCCCAAGCTGGCCCAGCTCTCCCTCTGGGACAGGGACAGGATGCCAAGATGGAGCTCTGGGGGGCACCATGATGGGGCCCTTCAAGGAGCCTGGAAGGAGGTCAGATAAGGAGATGCAGGAGGAGTTCATGGAATCCAAGTGAGTGAAAAGCTCAGAGTGGGCGATTTGGTTATCAAATGCAAAGACGTGTGATATGAGGATTGAGAAAGTGCTCTGTGGGCTTAGGCTGGGCGTGCCTAGCACAGAAGAAAAGTGACTACCCAAGAGCTGGCACCTGGAGCAGTTGAGCCAGTACTGCCACCAGAAGGGGCACTGGGAGAGCCGGCCTCCCCCTCTCCTGAGCACAAGCACCTCCCGGAGCTCACAGCAAACACAATTCCCACGTGGGCAAGGAGCTGCTACTTTTCATGGCAAGCCTTTAGTTCTTGATTTTTCATTTTGATTTTTTCTTATTCTCTTTTCAACCAGAGTCATTTGAGCAGAATAGTTCCTGATTTTTTAAATCACATGCATATTGAACTTTGATAAAAATAGAAATTTAAGAAGCCCATTTTCTTATGCTAATTACTGTATATGACTTAATACTAAATCATATATTTTAGCTGGCTCTAATCAGTCTTTCAAAACAGATGAAGCTCATTTTAGGCACATTCCAACCTCCTTTGCTGTGTAACCCATTTCTCAGGTCACACTAACATGTGGTAAAATTCCTCTTACATTATTGTCAGTGATTAAAGATAGACACTGGGCCGGGCACGGTGGCTCACGCCTATAATCCCAGCACTCTGGGAGGCCAAGACAGGCAGATCACTTGAGGTTGGGAGTTTGAGACCAGCCTGACCAACATGGAGAAATCCTGTCTCTACTAAAAATACAAAAATTAGCTGGGCATGGGGGCACATGCCTGTAATCCCAGCTACTTGGGAGGCTAAGGCAGGGGAATCGCTTGGGAGGCGGAGGTTGTGGTGAGCGGAGATTGTGCCATTGCACTCCAGCCTGGGCAACAAGAGTGAAACTCCGTCTCAAAAAAAAAAGATAGCCATTGTACCTAGCAAGACCTGCGCTCGGGCAGTCCAGACCCCACTAAAAATCTGAGAAATGTTAATCCTTTCTTTAGGCCTAAGAAAACACAGGAAAGGAAGAACTTCACCATCCTTCACCCTTGCCTGCCCAACCACGGCAGCAGTGCGGGATGCTACATGGTTTCTGCAAGCCGCTCCCCATCTTCCCAGCCAACACCTGCAGCCCTGCTCTGCGTCCAGACCGCGGCATGCGGGCTACTGCCTGGTCCCTTTGTGGTGCCTCCCTGGGTACCTGGGATTTCATCAAACACCCACAAGACCAAGGGTCTCTTCATCTGTCTCCCTGAATTAAAGTCAAAGATCAACATTTCTTAAGTGTCACATTCCTGTCCCTTTATCTCGAGAAGCATCATTTACTAGAAATATAAGCAGTCACACTAGAGCCTGCGGGCTGAATGTGGCCTGCCATCTGTTTTTGCATGACCTGTAAGTTAAGAATGGGCTTTACCTTGTTAAATAGTTGGAGGAAAATGTCAAAATAATAATTAGTGTTAGGGACTGAATTGTGTCCACTTCCCTTCCCCGCTCAAAATTCATATATTGAAGCCCAACCCCTAATGGATCTGCATTTGGCAAAGTTTACAAACCAGCGGGTGCCCCCCACCTACCCAACTCCCATTTCAGAGAGTTGGGTCCCACCTCTGTGGCCAGTGTCCTGGGCTAAATGGCCCGACCTGATGAGCAGATTCCCACACCTTGTTCTCCCTGCACGTCCAGGGCAGCGTCTGTTCCCAGACCATAGCACCCTGGGACCCCCAACATGGGATGGGATCTGACTCCAGATAAATCGGCCACACTTTTTTTTTTTTAAATATGTAGTGAGACAGAGTCTCTCTCTCTCTCTGACACCCAGGCTGAAGAGCAGTGGCACCAGCATGGCTCACTGCAGCCTCCACCTCCTGGGCTCAAGTGATTCTCCTGTCTCAGCCTCCCCAGCAGCTGGGACTACAGATGTGCCATCGTGCCATCATGCCTGGCTAATTTTTGTACTTTTTTGTAGAGACAAGAGTTTCACCAAGTTGTCTAGGCTGATCTCAGAACTCCTGGGCTCAAGCGATCCTCCCGCCTTGGCCTCCCAAAGTGCTGGGATTACAAGCATGAGCCACCGTGCCTGGCCTACCATACTTCTTAACACAGATCCTTCTCAAGCTCAGATGGTAACTAATTACAAGCAGATGACATGACCTAATATTTGAAGTTTCTCATGGTGTGCTTAAATGTTCTACTAATTTTTAAAAGGCCATTCCATATTTACAAATAAAAGTTATTTCAAACACAAATACATTAAAAAAAAACATGCTTTTATGGCTGACGAATCAACACACAAGAGCATTTCAGTTGACTCTGCCTACCTACAATCACATTCCCTGCACCCTTAAAGTTGCAGATCAACTAGGTTGTCTGAGGTTGTTGTCCTGGTCCTTAAGCACCCCCATGAGTCAGTCGACACTAAAGAAGACAGTCCTTTTATGGAGGCATGGAACTGCTGCCATCGGCTTCAGAGAGGTCTGGGAAGGTGCAGCAGGGCAGACATCTGCCCCAGTCTCCAATGTGGTGACCCCGTATCCCAGGGAAGCTTAGGAATTCTCAAAAAGTCAACTGTCACTAGCTTGGTAGCTCCCAGTTCAGCAACCAACACAAAACCCAGCACTAAAGCGCTAAAAACTCACAAAGAACAGCAAAGCAGCATTTGTGACAAAGCCGGGCAGAAAAAACGACACAGCTGGTTCTCAGTCCAGCTCCAACGTGCCTGCTTGGGGAACGACAGTCCTGCCTCACACTTACTTGTCAGTAAACCACACAGCTAACCAAATTTTCCCAGCTAATGAGCTCCCTGAGATGAGTGAATGTCCCCAGATACCTGCAGCCTAGTCAATATTCAGTTTGCCAAATTAAAGTCTAGAGAAGACCATATTTATATATAAGAATATAAATCGTCTGTCACTTCTCCAAATGTATCCTGACTAGCTCCTTCTTTTCTCCATTTTCCAATTCTAACTTTTATTTCCATCATGTGTTCTTCTAAGATTGTTCTCCTTTTTTTGAGACAGGGTCTCACTCTGTCACGAGGCTGGAGTACAGTAGCACAATCATGGTTCACTACAGTCTCAACCTCCTGGGCTCAGGTGATCCTCCTGGCTCAGCCTCCTGAGTAGCTGGGACCACAGGTGTGCATGTGCCAACACACCCAGCTAATTTTTGTGTTTTTTGCAGTAACAGGGTTTCACCATGTTGCCCAGGCTGGTCTTGAACTCCTGGGCTGAAGTGATCTGCCCACCTCGGCCTCTTTGGCCTCTTCGGCCTCTCAGAGTGCTGGGATTATAGGCGTGAGTCACCGTGACCAGCCTGTTCTCCATTCTTGTGGGTATTCCTGGTCATCTGTTTCCCTGAATTAATGTCAATTATCAGTATTTCCTAAGTGTCACATTCTTGTTCCTTTTTCTTGACTAGCATGGTTTACTAGAAATAGAAACAACAGCAAAAATATTTAGGTCTTATATAAACAAATATAGTTATCTCGTCTGTGCTTTCAAAGTTAAATTTATTATGCACAGTAATGGGTACCACGGAGTCAGGGAAGGGGCTAGAAAGTGGCATCGTCTGTACACAGGGAACACATAAAGACTGTCCCCGGGTGTACCTCCCTAACTGTGCTGTCACTCCAACTTTCTTTGTCAGAAAGAAAAAGTAGTGTGAGGTGTATTCGTTTGTAAGAAACAAGGTGGCAGCTGGATGGACCAACTGAGCAGGGAGGCCAAGGTCATTTCCATCTGTCCCTAGTGATGTTCAGTATAGCCCTCCCCTTCGTGAGACCCAAGAACAGAAGATATGCTTCCACAATGGAGATTTTTTTTTTTTTAATGGCAGCACTCTCCTAACTACACATTCACGGACCAACCAAAGCCATCTCCAAGTCTAGAAAGGACACATACTACACGCAGCTAAAATGCCAACCACTGATCCAGAATTTTCAAGATGGCACCTTTCCCCAAACTTCCATACCATTCATTAAACATAGACTGCAAACTGCTAGCCTATAGAGCAAATTAAACCTGCAAGTATTATTTCCTTAGCTGCCTAAGCGTCTTTAAAAATTCGATTTAGTTGGCAATACATTGGGAAGTTTCACACAAATATCTAGGTTTCCAGCTTCTCTGAAGAAATAAATGAGAAAATCCATTCCCACATGGCAACAACCACCTGGAGCTAACAACTGTTAGACAGCATGCCGCTCCCCGCTACTGCCTTACATCCAGCCAGCTTCGTGTATGCATGTTACCTGCCTGCCATTCACATCTGCTCTCCTGGCTCAGCAAATGTCCCACCTCAGCCTCACACTCAATACCCTTGCACAGGTTCCATAATCAGAGTGCAGGGGGCCACCCACACTATAGCTGGACAATCCCTGGATGCCGGGATATTTGTTAACCATTATGTTCTTTCCAACCACGGGAACCTTCCTAAGAGCTCAAGAGCTTCACTGCTGGATAAAAACAGTTCCTGATCCTGGATTCTGTCCTTTAGTTTTCCTTTTCTAGTCACTGCCCCAGTCTGCCTGGCCCTGGGCTCTGTTCCACATTGGCAATGAGAGCCCACAGCAGGGAGACTTCCAGCAGGCTTTTCCACAGTGCAGCCAAACTATCAGTAAACAGACTTTGTTCTCCATTAAAAGCCCTGGAGCAGCTGAGTTGCTTCACCTTATCCCACCTGGGTCTTATAGAGTCTGTTCCAAGTGAGAAGTTAGCAGAGTCCTGTAAACAAAGAACAGTTCAGAGGCCAACCTGCACTCCCAGGTACCAGGATGCTCCCACGGTCTTCACTGTGCTCCCAGATGTTCGGCTTCATTGTTCTCATTTTGATCCTGATTTGGCATTTCTAAACCCAGGCGGCGCAGGGAACATACAAAGAAGCGAGGAAGTTTGCAGACCAAGTTGAGATCCTCCTTCCTGGACCCCAGGGCAGGGAGGATCAGCTGCTGGGCATGCAGGTGAAGGGGGATGTAGCGGGCCTTAGACTGTTCCAGCCCCAGCTTCTTCAGGGTGCCCACGGACAGCTTCTATACAAAGAAAGGACAGACCCTTGAGAGCAAGGCCAACAGTCCACCCTTGAAGAACATGCAAAGTCAGGGGACTTCCACTTACAGGGAACCAACACTAACCCCCTGGAAGACACAGTCATGGAGAGCCTGCTTCAGGGGCATGTCTAAGAAGGGCTCAGAACCCAGGTGAGGGAAAAATGACCACACCAAAGACATTCTTTTTGGCCAGTGCTTTTTGGCCTACCAAGAAAATGGGCTGTGGTATAAGGATGAAAAGGCTTTCCCCGCGGTTCTTTAGCAGCAGCATGAAAACCTGCTCCCAGTCTTCAGAGACACCCTCCACTTGTCCACAGCCTCCCAACAAAATCAGACGAAACAAACGTAACAGTAAGCTTTTCACTAACAGATCCTGCCGTTCCACGAGGACAGTAACTGACTGCTTCTAAATTTCTCTAAAAGCAAGATAACGAGCTTGGTACTATGTCTGAAGACAATGAATAGGCTTTGCTGTAACTCATTTCGGAGATTTAAGAAAAGGAACGCCTAAGTTCTCTCCCGTATCTGTTGCATATTGGGTCAAATTAGTATTACCTGGGGGGCCAACCTGTTCCAGTCTGAGTACTTGTGATCACCAAGTATTGGACAATCCAATCCAAAAGACAAGTGAACTCGAAGCTGATGTTTTATTCCTTAAAAGAGAGAGAAAGAAAGAAAACTTGTGAGGAGCTACAGAAACAATATCAGTATTGGCATCTGCTTCAAATCATATTAAATCAAAGTGCAGTAAACTGGCCAGGTCCCAACTATAATAAAGTATAAAGAATAATACAGCAAACTATAAGCTATGTAGCACCAGCTAGCTTAGGAAGTAAACGTTGTAAATACCCTAAGTACCCCTGTCCACCACAATTCCCTCTTTCCACCATAGATAACCAACATTATGAACTGGCCGTCTACCATTACCCTAACTTTTCAGTAATTTTACTACATAATGGTAAGTAGTATTGATTTGCACATTATTTGAATTGTAGTAAAATATACATAAAATTTCCTGGTTTAACCACTGGCATTATACTAAATGCCAAGTCAGTGGCATTAGGTGTATTCACACTGTTTTTGCGACTGTCACCACCACAATCTCTAGAACTTTCTCATCTTCCCAAACTGAAACTCTGGACCCATTAAACAACAATTCCCCATTCATCTCCCCTCCTTTACCCTAACCTAAGATTTTGGCAACCACCATCTACTTTCTGTCTCTATACATCTGACTCTTCTAGGTACCTCTTCACATGAGTGGAATCATACAGTATTGGCTCTTTTCTGCCCGGCTTATTTCACTTAGCATAATGTTTTCAAGGTGCATCCATGCTGTAGCAAGTGTCAGAATGTCCCTTCAATTCTTTGAAAGCTGAAAATAACATCCTATTTTCTGTATATGCTACATTTTGTTTCTCCACTCATCCCCCAATGGTCACTGGGATTATCTTCACCTTTTATTACTGTAAATAACACTGCTATGAATATGTGTGCAAATATTTGATGATTTTGGGTATATACCCAGAAGCGGAACTGCTGGATCTTATGATAATTCTCTGTTTAATCATTCTGAGGAGCCACTCTGCACAGTTTTAATAGAGGCATTCAAACTGTATTCTTTTGCTAGTCACAACCATCCCTATGGGAGTCCCCGTAGCCTCCGATCAGCACCAGAAGCACATTCTCACACAAGTCAGCCATAGCACCAGCTGCTCGGAACGAGGCCCCGGACAAAACCTGGTGGCACAGGGTTGTGTGATCCCACTGCGGAAGAGTGACACTCTCACCTGTGATGGGCTGGAGCTCCACGAGGGCGGAGGAGAGAGTACTGCTGAGCACCTGGTACCGAGTTACAGCAACTTGTGCATTCCGGCTATGCCGCACTTTCACCATTTTCCCATTGTCCATGCGGTAGCTCGGGGACAACGTCATCTGAAGCCAAAGAAATCAAGATATGATTCTCAAGGAAGAGCAGCAACCCCTGCCTCAGGGAGGCTGCCTGCCCACCTTGTGGTGCTGCTGCTGGCCTTGCGCTTCCTTCTCCACAATGGGGATGTCCACGACTCCTGCTGAGGGCATGGGGACACGCACAGTGATGGCCCTGGGGGTGACACAGATCACTGCTTTAGCCAACCAAGCCAGAGAAGACCTCCTAGATTTGGCCACTTAGAGGATTTCACACTGGACCTTCTGCACTAACACGTGATCTCTTATGATTGAAGGGTCGTGCAAGATTCTCTTGGTGTAATGCTTAGCCTGAGAGCAGATAGATTTCACAAGCTTATCTTTTTTACTATTAAAGTCATACATGCTAATTGTAGAATACTTGGGGTAAAAAAAGAAAAAAATTATATTAATAACATGGTCTTCCCAGCCTTTAAAAATGGATAAGTACAGTTAAAATTATGATAATTTTGTATTGTTTTTCTTTTTCAAATAATAAAAGATTGTAGATTCTGACTGCATGCTAAATGAACAAATGAATAAATAATTGGATGAATGAACCTAAGAAAAAATTCAGAGAACTGTTCCTGGCTCATTTGCCACATAGGTAAAACAGGAGGGAACTGTACCCAAAGAAGTCACAGGGGCAGGTGCAGTGCCTCACACGTGTAATCCCAATACTTTGGGAGGCCGAGGCGAGTGGATCACTTGAGGTCAGGAGTTCAAGACCAGCCTGGCCAACATGGTGAAACCCAATCTCTACTAAAAACACACACACACACACACACACAATCAGCCAGACATGGTGGCATGCACCTGTAACCCCAGCTACTTGGGAGGCTGAGGCACAAGAATTGCTTGAATCCAGGAGGTGGAGGTTGCAGTGAGCCGAGATCATGCCACTTCACTCCAGCCTGGCGACAGAGCAAGACTCCGTCTCAAAAAAAAAAAAAAAAAAAAAAGAGAAGTCCTAGGAACCACAACCACAACTCAATAACTCATTCCAAATCACTTCTGTTGGTGCTCTCCCTCTCATGACCTCACAGACAGGTAGGAGACTGTTTAATCTGTCTGTATATTTATGCCTCTTTCAGGTCAATGATGGGAGATTCTCTCTGGGTACCTGGTGGTCTGCTGTATAATCACTAACCAAGGGGTCAAAATCCCACTCAGACACACTGTTTCACAACATAGACACTCCATTTCAGTTTGAGCTACTATCTGGTACATTTTATCGTATTTTATAGATTTTATAGATCTTCTGTGACAAGATTGCCCTTCCTAATGATACGACACTACAACTCAAGAATGCCCAATCAGCAAGACCCAATTGATTGATTTCAATTCCTCCATGAACCCGATACCGAGAATGGTTACCAATTTTGAACCTTAATGGACATTTTTCACAAATAACATAACATGTATTTTGTAGTCTTAACATTTTGATAGCTTGAATAGATAAAATAAGTCTCTATTTTTTATTTTTTAACTTTTCCTATGAACTAGGTACTGTTAAATATTTCACATGACTCAGTCTTATTTAACCATCTCATAAATCCTATTATTTGCATTTGTCATATGAAGAAAACAAAGCTTATGGAAGTTTAATAACTTGCCCAAGGCCCCACAGCTGGTAAATGACACAGTTGAGAGTTGAACACAGATCTTTTTGAGGTCTTAGCGACTGTCCTAAATTCCTCCATTCTCTATAATTTTATTATAGTTGTTCTTAAATTTGATTGTAAATCAAATTTAAAAATACAGATGCCAATCCCCACAACCATCAGACTTATGAATGAGAACCTCGTGGGTAAGTCTCAATCATACAGAATTTTAAAGGGCTTCTCAGATCACAAAGTATCTGCAAAATCTGTAATCTAAAAAGGACTAACATTCAAAATATAAAATGAATACTTACAAATCAAATAGAAAATAATAAACAGCCTGGGCCAGACACATTGGCTCACGCCTGTGAGCTGTAAGTGCTGTAATCCCAGCACTTTGGTGGGTGGATCACTTTAGGTCAGGGGTTCAAGACTAGCCTGGCCAACATGCTGAAATCCCATCTCTACTAAAAATACAAAAATTAGCTGGGCATGGTGGCGTGTGCCTGTAATTCCAGCTACCTGGGAGGCTGAAACATGAGAACTGCTTGAACTAGGGAGGAGGTTGCAGTGAGCCGAGATTGTGCCACTGCCCTCCAGCCTGGGCAACAGAGCAAGACTCCATCTCAAAGAAAAAAAAAAAAAGGCCAGGCATGGTCTTAAAACACATAAATAAATAAAAATAATAAATGACCCAATAGAAAAATAGGTAAAAGAAATAAACAGTCTGTTTCCAAAAAGGGAAACTCAAATAGCCAATAAACATGTAAAAAACACTTAAATTGATAGCCAACATCACTGTTATATAAGAAAATAGAAAATGTCTTTTTTTTTTTTTTTTTTAACTTATCACAGTGGCAAACCCTTTAAAAATGCTTTGGCTGATAAGGGGAAATGGGTACTCACCACTGCTGGTGGGAATGTAAACTGATAAAACCTTGGTGGAGAGCAATGTGAGTACTATTAAAATTTAAATATACACACCATTCAGCCCAGCGATTCAATTTTTAGAAATTTACCCTAAAAATACATTCACATATTCTTTGCAATAGGCTCTAAAAAATGAGAAATTACCTAAATATTCATCAGTGGTATTTCACAGAGCAATTAAAAAGGAGACAGCTCTAACTGTACAACACAAAATGCTCTAAGATATATGATCCAAGGGAAAACCGCAGGATACAAAACTGTGTGTAAAACACAGTACCATAGGAGTAATATGCTTACATATGCTCGATAACTCTGGAAGTTTACACAAGATACCAGTCACAGCGATTGCCCCTGGGGAAGGGAACTGCACAGATGGGGAACAGAGGGTTTCTTTTTTGCTCATGTATCTTTTTTCTCTGAAAAACATTGAGGTAAACCTTTATGTGCTAACACAGAATGATCCCCAAGACATAGAATTGGGCAGGGGAAAGAGTATAATGTAAATTGTACAATGTGCTATATATAGATATATATATCTATGTACATACGTATCTACACACACACATACTATATACACTAGACATGTATGTAAATGCATTAAGAACTAGAGGAATAAAAACCAAACTGATTACATGGGTTGTTACCTCAAGGGAAAAGACTAGAATGGCAGAGTGGGTGGATTCTCCAGGAGTTTTTCACATTATCTTTGTTGTTTGACTATTTTTATCACAGGAATAAAATCATATATTACTCGTATAATTAATTAATTTTTTTTTTCTTTAGAGACAGGGTCTCACTCTGTCATCCACGATGGAGTGCAGTGGTGTGATCATAGCTCACTGTAACCTCAAACTCCTAGGCTCAAGTGATCCTCCCACCTTGGCCTCCCAAGTAGCTGGGACTACAGCTATGTGCCACTATACCGGGCTACCTTTTTACTTTTTATAGAGAAAAGGTGTCGCTATGTTGCCCAGGCTGTTCTCCAACTCTTGGCCTAAAGTGATCCTCCCACCTCTGCCTCTCAAAGTGCTGTGATTATAGGCATGAGCCACTATGGACAGCCTATGCTTGTATAATTAATTTTTGATAATTTTGATGTATACCAGAATTAAGAACCACTGTTCTATCAGACTTAATATTCTAAGCACCAAAGCTGTTTCACATACTTTTTATAATCTTGCAGGTCCTAGTGCAGTGCCTTCTATTAATTGGAGTTTCTGCTTTTAATGGATAAATAGGTGAAAGAAATGCCTCCACTTATACCACCTCTACTGCCATCAGCAGGCCTCATACCAGTACTTCTTCACCACCTGACGGGTTCTAAACAACTCTTGGACTTGATGTGCCATGTCCTTGTCCCAAGCCAACACCATTACGCCTGTGGTTTCCTTGTCCAGCCGGTGGCACAGATGCAAGGGCTCTGCCTTGTGGCCATGAAGCATCTTTGCCAGGATAGGTAGTACATCACTGATGCAGAGCTGGACCCCAGGGCCACCTAAGAAGGAAAAAGCCAAATATTTGAGTGGCCAGGAAAAGATCTCACCAAAGAACTCTTCTTGGGAGAAAAGCCCTTAATGGATAAACTGTCAATATTTTCTAAAGCATTACTACTGAAGTGTGGTCCAGAGACTAGCAACAATGGCATGTCTAGGGAGCTTATTAGAAATGAATCTCAGGCTCCCAACCTAGACTACTCAGTCAGAATCTGCATTTTACAAGCTGTCCAAATGATTCAGAAGCATAATAAAGTTTGAGAAGCACCATTCTAGAGCATGTGGCTTTCCTCTCAGACATACTTTGCAAAACCATGAGGCCTTCGAGAAGCATTAAATATGAGTGATTAGGAGGATAGGCTTCGGGGTTAGACATTCCAGGGGTTCTAGTCTCCTCTTCTTACTAGCCATTTTTTTGACCTTGGACACATTACTTCTCTTTCCAACTTTGCTTTCTCATTATAAAATGTAAATATCTGGAAAACAACTTCATTGGGGAATGGGGAGGCAAAAAACTGTTGTGAAAATAAAGAGAGAAAAAAATTATACAAACACTTGGCAATGTCTGATTTAGTTCCTTGTCTTTATGAACGACTATCTCCATATCTCCCCGAAAAGCAATACCTTCTTCTAGCTAAAACGGGCCTTTTCCCTCTGCAAAATTCTTTCGCAAATGCATTTTTTAAATCAATCTTTCCTGATTCACCTCAGCTGTCCCTGACAACTACATGCAACATTTGTTGAAAGACATTTGAGCGTCCACTAAATTCCAGTTACTCTGGGGTTGTATGTTACATATACTCCCACATACACACACACACACCCTTTTTTCTTATGTATCATTTTCTCATTCCCAGTTTTGATGGAAGATAACCTTTAGTCTAGAACCACACAGCCTTTGTATATCTCTACAGTGATCCCTGTGGTCTGCACACAGTGTATTCCACGAATTGCTGCTTACTGTCAGATGTTTAGAAGGGGAGGACTGTCTTATTTATTTCTGTGTCCTCGGTGGTTCCTTATATTGGACGGTAGTCTAAAAAGGTTTAATTAATTTGAACGCAAGGCTTTAGAGTGCACCACAAGTAACGTCTCAGTTTTCCTCGGTTGTAGCAGAAAGCAGCCACAGATCCCTCTCCCATTCCCGCGTGGTCCTTACCATGCACAGGGAGACCGTAGGGCTTATTGATGACCACAAGGTTATTGTCCTGGTGGAGAATTCCTCGGGTCAGTGCCTTAGCAAGCACGTTGGGGTGGACTCGCTGCAGCTGCCGTGTGAACCGCACTATTTCTTGCACTCTCCGCTGAACAGGGTTTGTGGACACCTAGGGAGAAAGAAGGAGCTGTGGGGAATGCCTGGTGCGGAAGCGGTGGAGAAGTCCTTACACAAAGCTCTGGGTGAGAATCTGAGTGGGGAATGACTATCTTTGCATCAGACCCGCGCTTTCCTCGAGTAATCTGAGAGCAGGGGTACCAGGGGTACCAGTTTGTCTAACCTGCGTACCCACGCAGTGGGTAGGACCGAACCTGACAGTAGCCAAAGACCCAGCTCACGGGAAAACACCGTACCCTTACTGACCCTTCCCCTCCACCTTCTCCCCATTCTCCCACCTAGCGTCCGGGCTATTGACTCATACGCTTTCAGTCAGAGGACCCTCCTACCTACTCCGGGTCCGGGAAACCAATGAGCGCACTGTCTCTTGGGAGTTGTGGTCCCTTCGGACTCACCGGCTTCTTGTTTGTGTCTTGTTCCCGTTTCTGGGCTCGGAGCCTCTCCGCTAATCTCTGGGCATTTACGGACGTAGAGGCAGCGGCAGCGGAACAAAATGGCTTTGAGACGAGACTGAAGAGACTCTCCAAACCCTGGCCGTTTCCCCAGATCCAGAGGCCCGACGCCCTCCACCTGGGCGCCGCCATCTTGCCAGGAAGGGAGGGGCAAGCCAAGACCACGTGGAGAAGGGCGGCAAGAGTGAGGCGGGAGTGGGTGGACCCTGTAGGTCACGTGGTGCGGGGTGGGGCCTGGACGAGTCACGGGGGTTAGGTGCGCGCTCAGTGCGGCTGCGCCGGCCGGTAGCTGCAGCTGGAGCAGTGGCGTTTGGAGGAGACTCGGTGAGTGTGTAGGGAAGCAGGGCTGGGGCTGGGAAATGCCGGTGCCTCAACGCATTAACGTTTTCCGCGTCCCCGGGATTTCTGTTCAAGAAGAACACTGGTCCGAAAAACGTTTCTCCTTTTGGTACACGATCCCAGTGAGAAACTCCTCCCCGCCCCCGCGCCCCCTTAGAGGCGATGTCCCATAAACACTCGCCCCAGAGCCCTCCTAGGCACCTACGCCGTCCCTCTTAGCCACCGAATCTCCGGTGATCCGCCAGTCCCCTGCGGGACTCGTCGGGTACCCTCTTGATTGGATGCCTGGATCTCTGTAGCCTCTCCACCCGTCATCTTCCAACTCCCATCCTCTTTGTTTCACGTGGTAACCTGTCCACCTCTCGTAAGGATGACGGCCCCTTCCCTTATCCAGGGCCCCCAGCCCCTACTTCCTACTTAGGAAGCACTGTGAGTGTTTTTTCTGTCCTTCCTCAAGAATTCATTGCTTGGAGTCTCCTCCCTACCTTCGCTACTCCTAAAGAAAAAGCTGAAAGTACGGAGCACAGACCTTCACTTTTCCTGTTTCCTTTGTTTTTCCTCTCCTCCTCAGTTTGCAACCGCACTAAACCCCCTCTCACGAGATGCGATGTTGAGATTCCCTTGCCCGAACTGCAAGTGACTACCTCTGATTTCAATCAGGGGTGGCTGGGAAGATAAACATGTGCTTGGGATGGTAGTGTTAAAAGTAACTTAGGATGTTCCTGCCATTTGTTAAGAGAAAAACTTATGCTGAGTTCAGAAAGAATGTCCTGAAAACTAATGGATCTGTGAAGATAGGGGGAACAATTTTTTTAAGACTGCTTGGAGTGAAGGCTGCCTGAGGAGTTATTAGAGAATAGGTAGTTGAATTAGATTTGGGTTCTACACCTCCTAAAGGGTTTGGCAGAAGGGAGCCGTACCAACAAGAAACAAAGTTGATCAGGTGGAGCTACTCATAGAAGACTCAAGTTGAAGAGTTTGAACTAGAGGTGACAAGTTGAAGAGTTGGAACTAGAGGTAGTGGGGAGTCTTTGAAGCTTCTTGAGTAGGGCAGAGAGACTCCTTGAAAGTGAAATTCTGGAAGTGAATCTGGCAGTTGAATGCAGGACAGATGGGAAAGGAAAGGGTTTGATAGTAGGAAAACTAGTTACAACCTAGGTGGTCAGTGATGAGGTCTGGTCTTTTCCCCTACACTGTAACTGTCCTTTGAGTTTGAATTGATTATGAGTTACGCAGGTAAAGATGTACTCTTGGCAGCTGCTGTTGATCTGTGAGTCCCTGGAAGACTTTTTTTTTTTTTTTAAATCCTCTGACCTGGCACATAGTAAACTCACAATATCTGTTAGATGGCTGAAGTGCATCATAAATGTATGCTAGGTGTGTCTGAACATTTTGAATTGTCTTATTTCTGTCACTGGCCTGAAGAATGAACGTAGAGGCAGATGTATTTGTAAAGTTGGAAAGAAGCAAGCCTTGTGTACGTTTCTGTTATAAGGCAGGTGTAAATGCCGATTCAGATATAAATGCGAAGAATTCCAAGGGAGATTGAGAAACAACATCCATTTCTCCTGTTCCCCCCACCGCCCTGCACATTTACCAGTAGGACAGAGATCTATAAAAGTTGAGAAATTCGACCTTAAAAGAATTATTACCTTCCATGCTCCAGACCTAGGTTCTAATTTCACTAAACAGATGAACATCACGTATTACTTAGATACTTGAAGCTCCCTTTTCCAAGGACCCTGAAATTTTGACATCCGGAATTAAATTAATATCATTACATTAATTAGAAACTTGTTTTGGGTACAGGACTTTTATGGTTTTGTGTCCGGGATGGGAGAACCTGTTTCTACCCTAACTGTATGGCATTCAAGAGACTACACCTGTTCTTGCAGAATTGGCCTTCTGTGGCAGGAAACAAAACGAAGAACCAACTCAAATGTCATTGCTAGTGACACAGAGCTTATGCTCTAGGGTTTCAGGTTAACTCAAAGCACACACTTAGTGACAAAGAATAAAAGTATTTGTTCTTTATTTCTGGAGAAGAAACTGTTAGGTTTGTCTTGTTGAAACTTTGTGGAGAAATTTAAAGAATTCAAAGTTTTTGTTTGGTATGACAGTACAGCTTTAGCCAGCATGGGTACGTCAGTTACGACATCCTTAATGTTTCTCCCGTGAGTCTAGGCACTTGGTGATTTAGAGTTGTTCTCAGTATAATTTATGCAAATGTCATGTCTTTTTTTTTTTTTTTCTTCCTCAATTTTCAAAGAGCAATAATTGCCCCTCAGATAAACCTCATTGGCTGCGATACTGCCACTGCCAAAACCTCTTTTGTTTCTGGTTTTGGTTTTTGTTTTTTATAATCTCTGTATTGCCTCCTCCCTCTTCCTCATTCAGCTGGTCCTTTGTTAGGCCGTTCACTTTTCCATTTCTGCGTCAATGTCACAGTCCATTTGTTGGGAACTCCTCTTGTCTAAACTGTTTTCTTAAAACAAGGAAGGAAATTCTATTAGTGATTTCTTCATTCTTGGAGAGTACAGCTCTATTCAAACGTGACTTATTTACATTGATTTTGATATATCATAATATGTGCCCCCCAAAATAACCATATGAAGAACTTGATAGTTTCTTTTTAAAGATATTTCCTAGTCTATTCCAGAACAAAAAGGCTGCATTAGTATTTCACAAGTATAAAGAAGGACTGACTAATAAAGGAACTTGCGTTTATCATAAATTTAAGGTTAATCAGTGGCATGAAGTTTAAGTTACGCCTCCTCAAACTGTGATTTGCTAGTTGCAGATTAACCAGCGATTCCATTTCCTTGAAAAGCAGGAAGTACTTGGACATTGTTTTATGGTTTTATAGAGATTAAAGGACGCAATTAGCAGGAACTCTCGGGAGGTGCCCTGGAAAGTGCAGTCATTGGGAGCCAGGAGATGTGGGACTAGTCCCAGTTCAGCCACTGCGAACTTGAACAAATAATTTGGGCTTCAGTTTGTCATTTAAAAGATCTTTGCAACTCTGTTTCTAGTCTGTGAAGATTTTCCACTGATACGTAAGTACTTTCAGCCCGAATCAGTGGGATTTATTTCAGATTTATCTTGAATACATTTAGTATTGATACTAAGAAACCGAATTCTGCTCTTGTCCCCAGAATTTAACTTTTCACCACTGAGCTAATGTTTATATTTGGAGGTTACTTCATTGAGTGGTGTTGGAATATACTTTAAGATTTCCGGCCGGGCGCGGTGGCTCACGCCTGTAATCCTAGCACTTTGGGAGGCCGAGGTGGGCGGATCACGAGGTCAGGAGATCAAGACCATCCTGGCTAACACGGTGAAACCCTGTCTCTACTAAAAATACAAATAGACGGGGATGGTGGTGGGCGCCTGTAGTCCTAGCTACTTGGGAGGCTGAGGCAGGAGAATGGCGTGAACCCGAGAGGCAGAGGTTGCAGTGAGCCGAGGTCGTGCCACTGCATTCCAGCCTGGGTGAAAATGTGAGACTCCGACTCAAAAAAAAAGAAAAAAAAAGATTTGTTCAGTGGGGGCAGGGTGTGTGGCTCACACCTTAATCCCAGCACTTTGGGAGGCCTAGCGGGGAGGATCTTTTGAGCCTAGGAGTTTGAGATCGCCTGGGCAACATAGCAAGACCTCGTCTCTACAGAAAATCACAAAATTAGCTGGGCATGGTGACGCACCTGTGGTCCTAACTACCCTTGAGGCTAAGGTGGGAGGATCACTTAAGCCCAGGAAGTCAAGGCTGCAGCTTCAGTGAACCGTGACTGCAGTACTACACTCCAGCCTGGGTGACAGAGACAGACCCGTCTCAAAGAAAGAGAAAAAGTAATTTGTGTAATATGGTTTAAAAGTCAAATAGTAATAAAAGATTTATATTTAAAAAACAGTTTCTCAGGCTGGGTGCACCTGTAATCCCAGCACTTTGGGAGGCTGAGGTTGGTGGATTGCCTGAGGTCAGGAGTTCGAGACCAGCCTGGCCAACATGGTGAAACCCAATCTCTACTAAAAATACTAAAATTAGCTGAGCGTGGTGGCGTGTGCTTGTAATCCCAGCTACTTGGGAGGCTGAGGTAGGAGAATCGCTTGAACTGGAGAGATGGAGTGAGCCAAGGTTGCACCATTGCACTCCAGCCTGGGCAACAGAGCGAGACTCCGTCACCAAAAAAAAAACCCAACAAAACAAAAACCGTTTCTCTGCCCTCCCTACCTCATAGTTCCATTCTTTAGAGGCAACCACTCAGTTGTTTTCCTCTTTTCCTCTGTCTTTACAGTAAGTTATCAACATCATCAGTATTCTTGAAACACCATATAACAAAACCACTTTTACCATATGGTTTCTATGGCGTTTTTCTGGTCACAAAAACATACCCAACTTCTAAATAAAAACCAAAGCATTTCTAGTAGGAAACACTGAAACAAGGAAGATTTTCACCCACTTTTTGGTGAGTCAGTGACTTACTGCAATCATAGTGGTGGTGGGTTAAATCGAGGAATAAATGTGTGCAAAGTGAAAATTGTCAGAAGCATTTCCTACCACCATGCTCAGTTCCAAAACAATCCATCACCAATAGGGCAGGCCCACTGAGAGCTTTTGTGCCACATTGGTTATTGTTGTGCATTTGGATGATTACCATAAACTTTGCAGATTTTTATTTGCCGGTAATTTGTATTCATTCATGCATTTTCCAGCTCAGGCTCACAGGTGACTGGAGCCTATACCGGCAGCTCAGGGCACAAGGCAGGAGCCAGCCCTGGACAGGACGCCATCTGTCCCATAGGGTGCGCATGTACACACACACACACACACACACACACACACACACACACACACAGGGACCATGTAGACACACCAGTTAACCTAGTAGGCACATCTTCGAGACGTGGGGGGAAAGCAGAATACCTGGAGAAAACCCACACAGACGTGGGGAGAATGTGCCAGCTCCACACAGATGGGTGACCTCAGC